AGGCAAGACGAAGCCAGGACGAGGATAAAATCTGGTGAGGATAGGCACCTCCGAATCTCTGAGATCCGGCGGCTCTGGAAGACGTTTCGGGCGCCGCGGCCATCTCAGAGCTTTCCAGAGCGCTCCGAGACGGTTCCGAAACGCTCTGAAATGGATTTATCCTCGTCCTAGCCCCGTCCGAAGAAGTCCAGACCGCTTCCCCCAAGGGTGGACCTTCGCCCTGGAACCGTGTTTGCCGGCACCAGGTCCCGACACGGGCCCCTGCGGGACGAAATCGAAGAAAACCGTCCGGAATGGAAACGTTATTTCGCCGCGGGGACCGTTCAACCTTGAACGATCGGCCGCTGCCGAAACGTCAGATCGTTCAACATAGACCGAGTCGCCGACGGCGTTCAGCGCCGAACGCCGGCGGCAGGGTCGCCGCGAGTCGGCACGACTCGAATCTACTGTTAGGTCGGGCCTGCCCCCCTACAGGGGGATTTTCGACGAAAAATTAAGAATACTCAAAAAATACCCCCAAATGGTCAAAAAATCTTCAAGAAATAGTCCCCAGACTATTTGTTCCCCAATCAGAGCTTGCTTCTGTAGGGGTCCTAGCGGATTAAAGGGTTAGGTGAGGTGCGTCGCCGATTTCGGTGGCCGGGCCCGGGTGCCCGGGGGCGCCCGGGTGCCCGGCGGTGCCCGGGTGCCCGGGTGCCCGGTGAGGTGCGTGGCCGATTTCGGTGGCCGGGCCCGGGTGCTCGCGGGCGCGCGCGCGGGTGCCCGGGTGCCCGGGGGTGCCCGGGTGCCCGGGGGTGCCCAATAGCCCAATAGCCCAATAGCCCAGTAGCCCTATAGCCCTATAGCCCTATAGCCCTATAGCCCTATAGCCCTATAGCCCTGTAGCCCTATAGCCCTATAGCCCTAATAGCCTTATATCCCTATAGCCCTATAGCCCCATAGCCCATATATAGCTCCATTAAAAGAGGCGACGTGCACGCTCCCAAGGGAGCAGTTGGAAGATTAAAACATCTTATTTTGGCTTCTCTGGTATGATATACTATTCTTGAATCGACGTTGTGAGGTTCTCATGGTGTGGGCCCCCGCGGCCTGGACACACTCCCCGGGGCCCCGAGTCGCTTTCTGAGGGCCCCGAGGCCGGAGGGGGCACCCGGAGGCCGCCCGCAGCGAGAAGCAGCCCGCCTTGCCTCTGTTCGTTGCCCGAGCGGGGCTGCACACTTTCGCCGACCCGCGGATCTGGCGCCCGCTTGCCGTATCCACGGCTCCGTGATCCACGCTGGCTTCTTGTGCCCAACCCTCTGGGCCCCCATCCACCCCAGATCCTCCCCGCGCCTCCTCGCTCCTCCTCGCTCTTCCTCCTCCTCCTCCTCCTCCTCCTCCTCCTCCTCCTCCTGAGCACCCTCCGATGACCCTCCGCCACAAAGGGCGAGATGCCCGCGCCCCCTCGAAGGCGAGGCCCCCTCGGAGGCGAGGCCCCCTTCGCAGGCGAGGCCCCCGCGCCCCGTCGGAGGCGAGGCCCCCTCCCTGCCGCGCTCCCCCTCCCTTCCCAGACCCCCTCGCGTCGTGAAAAAACACGACGGGAGGTTTTTCACCATTTTCGGCCTCCGGGGGCCCTTCCCGGGCCTCGGGACCGTCAAAAAACGACTCAGGACGAAAAACAGGTCCCGGGGAAGGGGTCCAGACCTCTGGGGGTCGACGTTGTGAAAAAATCACGACGTCGGGGGTCTGGGTCCCTGCCGCGCTCCCCCTCCCCTGCAGGCCGGCCTTCGGCGACGACGCCGGCGACGTGGTCCGCGCCTCCGCCCGAGCCTGCTCCTGGGGAGGGGCCCCACAGGGCAGGTTTTCATACATGGGATTAAATGTGTAGTACATGATGAATTCATGAATGAATTGATGCACGAACTCATCGCTGTTTTTAATGCTAAATCCCTGCATCTTTAATACATGATCCGCACGCGGAGCATGTATTAAAAACGGCGCTGTAAGGGTGCAAGGGCCTTGGAACGCCACGCTGAGGTTCTCCGCGTGGAGCGCGGCCGAATTCCGAAGGATGCAGGGGCACCCTGACGCGCCGCCATCCTTGCCGACCTGGCGCCCGGGCCACAAGCAAGGACAACGCAAGGATGCACGGGCACCCTGTGGCCGAGTTGCCCCGTCCTCACTGTTGTGGTTGACTGTACGCGCCGCCACGCTGGTCCCAAACAGGCCGTGCTGCCCGGCGGACCCTGAGGTCGTGGCGCTGCCATCTTCTCGACCTGGGCATCTCCGGCTGCTGTCGTGCCCCGGGGGCCTCCCAGATCGATCCGCCTCGTGGCGCAGAGGGGTGGGGCCTACTCAGGGCTCCCTCCGGTCGTGGTGCTTCGTGCTGTTCGATTCTTGTTTGCCACGCCGGGTCCCCAGACCCCCGACATCGTGATTTTTTCGCGGCGTCGACCCCCAGAGGTCTGGACCCCTTCCCCGGGGCCGGTTTTTGGAGTCGTTTTCTGACGGTCCTGAGGCCCCGTAGAAGGGACCCCGGAGGCCGAAGATAGTGAAAAACCTCCCGTCGTGATTTTTTCACAGCGCGAGGAGGTCTGGGCCACAGGGGAGGAGGGGAGAAGCAGGCAGGCGACGACGACCGCGCAGGCGGGAGGCCAGGGCCGGCAGGGCGGGCGGGCGGGCGGGCGGAGGGGCCAGACGGAGAGACAGCAGGCAGCGGGCAGGAGGAAAGAAGGAGGGAGGCAGAGGAGGAGGAGGAGGAGGAGGAGGAGGAGGAGGAGGAGGAGGAGGAAGGGGAGGGGAGCGGAAGCAACCGCAAGCGGGCGTGGATCGCGAAAAGCACACGACAGACGGGTTGGGGATATCGCGGCCTCTGTCGGGCGTTGCTCCATGGGGGGGCGTAAAATGGGGAGGCGTGGGGGGAGAAGTGTATACCATTCGTGCCCCTTTTGAAGCCCAGAGGGCCCCTTCAAGGCCACTTCTGGGGCACAACAAGTGCACCTCCCCAAAGACGCAACGCCCGACATGACTTCTGGGGGCCTTACCAGGCCCCAGGACCGTCAAGAACCGGCTCAGGAGGGGAAGAATGGTCCTGGCGGGTGGGTCGAGACCTCTGGGGGCCGACGGTGCTGGCAAATCGTGAGGTCGGTGGCTGGGCAAGTGCCACTGTTTAAGCTGCCTGGTTGTAGAACTTGCCTTCCCAGTTGTACAGTGCACTTGGGAGACCATGTGGGCAGGCTGTGCGCAAGAATGGCCCACCCTGACTCCAGATCCGCCCTACTTTGGGACAGTCCGTAAGTAGGGCTTGGAATTTCCGCCTTTGTTTTCAAGCCCCGCTGATGCCAATTTCCGCCCTTCTTTTCGGTTGCTGTTTCCGCCCTACTTCTGTGGATTTCCGCCCTACTCTATGTTGGGTGCAGAAATTTCCGCCCTACTTTTTCGGCTTCTTATAGGTGGATTTCCGACGCAATTTTGAGTTGGAAAAAAGCCAAAAGTAGGGCGGATCCGTAGTCAGGGTGTGGGCAGGCGGTGCGCAAGAATGGCCCAAGGCAAGCGTGATCTTCGGTGCAGGGTGCAGCGGGGGCGCGGGTGGCCAAACCCAGGCGCGTGAGGCGCTGCTGCCGCCTCGCCTTCAGCAATCGGGAGTCCCCCTTCTCGCCATCGCTCGGACGTCCGTTCCCGATGTTTTCTTCGGTGTCGTGCCTTGCTTTTTCGCCAAGTGATCAAGGATGCTCCTCGATAGTCCTCGCCGAAGGGAACATTCACTCGTCCGAGCGATGCCGAGCATTGGGCCCGCACCAGAGGTCACTCGGGCGGGTAGGCCACTCCTGAGCGTGTAGCCCAGCAGGGAGGGGGAAGGCGAGGGCACAGGGGCGGAGGGCTGGCGAGGAGGCCGGACGGCGACGCGAGGCGGGGCGCGGCCGCGGAGGCATTTGTAGAAGGCCGATGCGCGGCTCGGTCGCGGCCAGTGTCACGGCGACCAGCAGAAGGGAAGGCGCGCCCGCCTGGGATAAAAGGCGGGGTCGGGGAACAAAATGCGAGGGCGGGGCCTCGAGCGACGCTTGTGCCGAGGCGAGGCCCAGCCTCCTCTGCCTCGTCGTCGTCGTCGGCGTCCTCCTCCTCCTCCTGTCGCTATCGCTGTCGCTATCGCTGTCGCTGATGGCATTCGAACTGGTGACACGCTCCTCCTCCTCCTCCTCCTCCTCCTTCTCCTCCTCCTCCTTTTCCTCTTTCTCCTCCTCCTCCTCCTCCTCCTTCTCGTCTCCTGCCCGCCTGATGTCGTCGTCGTTGGGGAGGGAGGAGCAGGCCACACTGCTCGACCGTTCGGGCGAGGATCGCGCCTCGACTCTTCGGGGAGCTGGTGGTCCATCAACGAGCGGAGGGTTCGAGCCCCCACAGTTCACTATGAACAAAATGCGAACCCGCCTGTCCAGGTCGGATCATGTAACCTTCTTTCTCCCACGGTATTCAGGTATTCAGCAGGCGGCACAGTGGACGTTGAAAAATCATCGCCTCCTGCTCGGACTGTGGGCGCACTTTGCGCACGGCGCCTCCACGGCGGCGCTCGACGACTTGTTCGGGCAGTCATGCAGCAGCACGAACGGCTGCATGGTGAAAGTGGGACGGCGCGTGTCCACCGATTCTGGCTGCGGTACGTAGGCGTCCCGAATCGTATGTTGTTCCCGTCCTACCTACGGATCGCCTCCCCGAAACAACCTCGAGCACCCGGAGAAAGGGCCGACAGAGTGCCCAAAGAGTGCGTCGAAACAATGCCGAAAGAGTGCCTCCCGGGGCCCGACACGCGAAAACCCTTGAGTTACCAGACCTCCGACGTTATGATTTTTTCATGACGCGACTCCCAGAGGTCCCGACCCATTCCCCGGGGACCGGTTTTTCATTCTGAATCGTTTTTTGACGGTCCCGAGGCCCGGTAAGGGCCCCCAGAGGCCGAAAGTAGCGAAAAACCTCACGTCGTGATTTTTTCACAACGCGAGGGGGTCTGGGTTGTTGGGTGCTTTTCCTGCGCGCCCGAAATCCTTCCCGAGGTCCGCATCCCCCCAAAAAAAACGGCGCCGCAGCGCCGGGCGCTGGGCGGCAGCGCGGCCGACAGAGCGCCGATGGGGCACCGGCTGGCGCTCCGCAGCGCGAGCGGGCTCAGAGACGAGTGGGATGTGCACATCCCCGCGCCGTAAAAAGTCGGGGAGACGTAAGACCCGGGTACGGGGGACTCGGAAATCCCCGACGAGGTCGTCAAAAAAATGACGAGGCCGAGCCTGCATTTTGACGAGGGTTCCCGCTGCAGACATCCCACGAAACTCCTCCTCGTCAAAATCCGAGGCGCGGTCGTCAAAAAACGATGGCGAACCCGAGTCCTGGCAAACCCGGGTCTTACGCTCCCCCGAAAAAGCACTCAGGGCGAATAATCATTCGGGCTGGACCACTCGCACGATCGGGCCGGGCGAAAGGGGGGGATAGCAAAGGGGGGGGGCCGAGAATCAGCTCACGCACCCTGACCTTCCAGAGAGCTATTTTTCAGCACTGGAGGCCTAAAAGCCTAAAAAACTGAGCGGAACAGCCTAAAACCAAGACGTAGAATAGCTTTGGGATAGGTTTTTAAGTCGGGTGCTATGTTTTGGCCCTCCTGGAAGGTCAGAGTAGCTGATTCTTCCGGCGCCTCCCGGCGCCGGAGGCGGCTGTGCATCGAGGAAGGGGCCCCTCGGTAGGGGGCCGAAACCAGCTGCACGCAGCAGATTTCGTAACCCCCCCCTTTCCCCTTCCCCCCCTTTCGTCCGGCCCGACACGAGCAGTCGAGCACTGCAGTGTCCGAGGCAGGCCGGAGCGCGGCCAGTGGGAGAAGCCCAGGCGTCACAGGGCGCGACCTTTGCGGGAGAGACCACGCGTGGGAGGCACGCCCCCCGCCGAGCAGATCCTCCCGCCCCGGGCCCGCCAGGGAGGAGGGGCAGCAGCAAGGAAGGGGAAGAGAGAGAGAGAGTGGAGCGAGAGGGAGCGGAGCAAGAGGGCGCGGAGCACGGGGGAGGACGGGAGCCTGTGCGAGCACACCAAAAGCAAGCAAGCCTCCACCGATCTCGAGACTCTCAGGAGGCGACCCGCGGGGAGGCGCAGCGGGCGAAGGAATCTGCCAAGAGCCCCTTTGGCTCGAGAGACGAGGCGCGTCTGGCTCGGTGCATGCGCCCCGAGGCCCCTGACTACCCGGACCCAGTGAAAGCTCGTGCACCGTGTGCGAACGACGCTCACACAGCCTCGTAGTTGCCCTCCTGCTCGTCGTTGCCCTACTGCTCGTCGTTGCCCTTGCCCTGCTCGGCGTTGTCCTCGTCCTCCTGCTCGGCGTTGTCCTCGCCCTGCTCTGCGATTCCGTCGCCTCGGGCTCCACCGCTTGGGTTTCCATCGCTCGCCCTGCCCGGGAGGCGCGAAGACTCGCGATCCGCTTCGGTCAGTAGCAGGTCCGCGACCTCCTGCAGGCGCAGGTTGAGCACCTGCGTGCTGTCCCGAGGGAAAAAGAACAGCTCATTCTCCAGGAACACCTTGTCGACAACATCGACAACGCGGGCGAGCGTATCACGTTGCTTGTTGGCCCGGGTGTGAACCTTGCTCGTCGTGGAAGGCAGCTCAAAGCCGCTCTCGATTATCACTGGTAGAATCCTCATCCTTGACCTGTCGGCCTCAATGAGCGCCGAGGTCAAGTGGCCTGTGCCGAAGCATCCGACCGAACAGACGAGGATTGCCTGCTTGCTGTTCGTGGGGATCTGCTCCCCCTCCCTGAGGACGTGCAGTTTGAGGTGCTGGTCCATGAACAAGTGTTCGATCATCTCCTTAAGGAGCAGCGCCGCGCAGAACGCCTCGTGGCTGAGGATGTCCACGATCAGGGTGCACGCGGCGTCTGGGGGCGCATCCTGGTCGCCTGGAACCCAATCAAGTTATACATTGAAAAATATTGAAACTGTCGGAAATCCGCGACAAGCCAAGAAAGCCGCGCAGACCTCCGAACCTCAATGCTTATGCAGATTATGTGGGTCCCAAGCGTATACGCCACGACCACCTCCATTCCTCCTCCTTCCTCTACGCTCCTCTTCCTCTCCTCTTTCCTGGGGGAGAGACGGGGTGAGGGAGGTGGTGGTGGTGTATATTTTTGAGCCCCGTAGATTTTCCTTCCTCGATCGCCTTCGCCCTTCCACTCGAGCAACGGTTGGTCGGACCCTCCCAAGCGTCGGAACTTCAGGAGATCGTCGGCAAGATTGGTCAGGCCCGCGGTCGTAAGACTGTCCGGCAGAGTCACCTGCGGGTTGGTCGGCATCCAGTCGAGCACGGTCAGCACGGAATCGGCGTTCATGCCCAGGTGGGTGAGCTCGTGCAGCCCCTTGATGCGATCCACGTGGTTGCGCTTCTGTTCTGGATACGCAAAGTCGGGATACTTCAGGTTGACAGTCGGGACCTGTTTGCCCTTTGCCACCGTCAGCTCGCCCATGGACCAAGGGCTCCCGAGGAGATCCGCCGTGCAGATCGCGACCACCATGTCCGAGTCCGCCACGTCCCCCAGCGACCTGGCCGAGCTGCCGTGGAAGTCGGCCTGCAGGTGCACGCGCTTGAACGCGTCGTCCACGCTGCTCGTGCCCATCCACTTCCACTTGAGCACGCGGGCCATGGCAGCGCCCGAGTGCTTGTGGTGGCACAGGAAGAAGGATATGGACTTGGTGCCCATGAGGTTGCGGGCGTGCGCGATGGCCCCCAGGCTGGCGGCCGCGCCGAGGCACAGCACCATCGCGCCGACGAGCAGGCAGCAGCCGACCGCGAGGCCCGCCTGGTCGGTGGTGGGCAGCAGGAGGCTCCCCAGAAAGAGGATGCACAGGATGGCCAGGTTGGAGCCCTCCTCCATGATGTTGCCGATCGGGCTTCTCCACGGCAAGAAGTGCGGGGTGATCACGATGGACGGCATCAGAAAGAGGAAGACGAGGATGAGCTGCACGCTGGCGTCCCCCATGATTGGCACCAGGGAGATGAGCAGGTTGCGGATGACGAGCACCCCGACATACCAGAAGCCGCCTGGGCGGAAGCGGCAGAAAAGGAACGTGTAGCACTTCATAAAGTTCGTGTCGCCGGCCAGGATGCGCTTGGGAAGCTGGTGCAGCACCCACAACACAAGCGCGATGAAGCCGGCAGGGATCACGGCTCCGGCGCTGGCGATGGCGACCATGACCCAGTGGTCGCCGCTGTCGTAGCAGAAGACATCCTCAGAGGGAAGACGAACTCACAAACATTAGCGTTCGGAGGTCCACGCTGATCTCTCGGATCGGGGCTGGACCCCCCCTCCCCTGCGTGCGGAGCGCGCCAGTCGACGCTTGAGGCGCCGCCAGGGTGATCCAGCGCCGATCCGAGCAATCCACGCAGACCTTCGAGAACTGATAGTCAGTATACTACCATAAGGAACGACCTATACGGACTGGGAACTCTTGTTTCGACCCCCGAAAGCACACATGTACAAGGAGCGCCGAAGGAACAACCGCGACAGGACCTGAAGAGCAGGGGCCCCCATCCGAACCCGGGCTGCTCTTCTTGGGCGCCCGAGTTATCCGGGGTAACTCGGGTCCGGGGTAACGCGGGTTTGGATTCCCGAAAAACGAACCCGAGTTGGCCCTGACCCGAGTTACCCCTGATGATTTGGGGCTCTGGACGCCCGGGTTGTCCGGGGTAACTCGGGCCCGGGGTGACTCGGGTTCGGAATCCCGAAAAGCGAACCCGAGTTAGCCCTGACCCGAGTCACCCCTGATGATTTGGGGCTCTGACCTTCTCTCAGCATCGTGGCTGCACGTGCGTGCGACCTGTCCCTCAACAGAGTCTGCTACGCCCCTCGGTCGGAAGAGGTGGGCAGAACCATGACGCAGGAAAGCGCTGGGAGCTCACGGGGCCTCCGCCCGCCTCCCGAAGAGGAGGAGGGAGCCTCGCTCGACCCTTGGAGTGGGGAGAGGGCCACAGCGGAGTAGCACCAAGGGGTTCAAAAGTACCTGCTTCAAGCGACCGCCGCGTGAAAGGGTCTCCAACCCCAGACGAAGGTCGATCCGGGGGAAACCAAAAGGTACCGATACCGCTACTCCCCGGACCTCTCCGAGGGTGCGTTCTGACCAGGATCTCGAGGCGAATCCAGCGGCGGCGGCGAGGAATGCCCAGGAGGCCCAAAAAGGGGAAACCAGGCGGAGGGCAGAGGTATGGGTACTCCAGGTCTCTCAATAAGCGTGGGGGGGGGGGATCGCGTGGGGGGGTAGGAAGCCGCTGTCCTTCGGGGGGCGTGGGGAGGTTGGGGAGCGAGAGGGAGTGGGCTTGGGGCGCGTCGGGGGGCGGGCAAGGGGCGTCGGACAGGTTGGCACGGGGGGGGGGGGGCTATTGAAGGATCTGGAGTGCCTTTTCCTCCTCCGAGATCCACGATTCCAGACCCCCGATGTCCTGATTTTTTCACAACGTCGACCCCCAGAGGTCTGGACCCCTTCCACAGGACCGGTCTTTCATCCTGCGTCGTTTTTTGACGGTCCCGAGGCCCGGTGAGGGACCCTGGAGGCCGAAAACTAAAAAAAAAAAAACCTCCCGCCATGATTTTTTCATTGCCCGAGGGGGTCTGGGATTCCAGAGTGCGACGCCACGTGCCGTGCCGTGGCGCCCCGCGCCGCGCCCCGGCTCTGGCGCCCGCTCCCCTGTGCGCCTGCCTGCCGTGCCTGCCGTGCGCCTGCCTCTGCGCCCGCGGGCGGCAGCTCCTGCCGCTGCCCAGGCTTCGGGCCGTTGCTCGGGTCGGGCGGAAGGGGGGGATAGCAAAGGGGGGGGGAGAATTCCAGACCCCCTCGCGCGGTGAAAAAATCACGACGGGAGGTTTTTCGCTAGTTTCGGCCTCTGGAGACCCTTACCGGGCCTCGAGGCCGTCAAGGAACGACTCAGAACGAAAAACTGGTCCCGGGAAATGGGTCCAGACTTCTGGGGGTCGCGTCATGAGAAATTCATGACGTCGGGGGGGCGCGAATCAGCTCACGAAGCTGCTTTTCCCGGCGCCTCCCGGCGCCGGAGGCGGCTATGTATCGAGGAATGGGTCCCTCGGTGGGGCCGAAACCAGCTGCATGTAGCAAGTTTCGTAACCCCCCCTTTCCCAATCCCCCCCTTTCGTCCGGCCCGAGTTACCCGGGGGAGGGTGGGGGGTCGGGTGGGAGGGCAACAAGAGCAGCGGCCGCGGCGTGCACTCGCCAGGGTGAGTCCGCGCCACCGACGCGTCAATCGCCTGCGCGCACCACAGCATGTAGGGGGGGGGGTCCAGGCCCCGCCCCCCCGGTGCGATCCTTAGCGTCACTAGCGTTACCCCGGGGGGGGGGGCAGAGGGCAGGGGGTTTTAGCCGGAGGAAGGGGCCTTACCCTGGGGAGGAGCAAAAACGCCCACCAACCCAGACCCCCGACGTCGTGATTTTTTCGCAACTTCGACCCCCAAAGGTCTGGACCCCTTCCCCGGGACTGGTTTTTCATCCTGAGTCGTTTTTCGACGGTCCCGAGGCCCGGCGAGGGCCCCCGGAGGCCGAAAATAGTGAAAACCTCCCGTCGTGATTTTTTCACAACGCGAGGAGGTCTGGGAAGATGACCCAGGACGCTCCTCGACAATCCCCGCCGAGAACAGAAACGCACGCGTCCGATCGATGCCACGGCGCCTGTAGCCTTTCGAGGGCCCGACGCCCCCCGTGGCGCGCCGCGCCGTGCCCCCGTGCCGCCCTGGCACGCGGCCCCCCGCCGAGAGGCGGACCTATAGAGCGCCGCGCCGCGCCTTCGCGGAGCGCCCGCGCGCCGCGCCGCGCTCGGTGCCCGCGGAGCGAGGAGAGCGGCGCCAGAGGCCCGCCGTGCCGCGCCGTGCCCGCGGCGAGCTGCTGTTTTTTTTTTTTTTGTTGGTTGCTCTTTGCTCTTGCCTTGCCTTGGAGCCAGCGCCGCGAGGCCGCGGCGTGCCCGCGCGCCGCGGGCCCTTGCCCGCGGGCCTCCTCCTCCTCCTCCTCCTCCTCCTCCTCCTCCGCCTCCTCCTCCTCCTCCTCCTCCTCCTCCTCCTCCTCCTCAGCGCCCGCGCGCCGCGGGCCGCGGTGCCATGGGCCGTGCTCGCTGTCGCGGGCGCGAGCGCGTCGCCGTGCCCTGCCGTGCGGTGCCCGCCCGCAAGGCTCCGCGCCCTGCCGCGCTCGGCCTCGGAACCCAGACCTCCTCGCGCTGTGAAAACTCACGACGGGAAGTTTTTCACTATTTTCGGCTCCGGGGGCCCTCGCCGGGCCTCGGGACCGTCGAAAAACGACTCAGGATGAAAAGCCGGTCCCGGGGAAGGGGTCCAGACCTTTGGGGGTCGAAGTTGTGAAATTATCCCGGCAAAGCAACCTAACAGCGATGTGTAGGATCATATCTGGAAGCATTCCCCTTAAGATTCAGATGAGAATCCAGTTGTAGAATTCTGTTGTTCTCGCAGTCGCAGTCGCATTCGCGATGACAGTCGCAGCGGCAACGGCAGTCGCAGTCACAGCCTCAGCCTCAGCCTGCCTCAGCCTCAGCCTCAGCCTGCCTCAGCCTCAGCCTGCCTCAGCCTCAGCCTCGGCCTGCTTCTGCCTCAGCCTCAGTCTGCCTTCAGCCTCGGCCTCAGCCTCAGCCTGCCTCAGCCTCAGCCTGCATCAGCCTCAGCCTCAGCCTCAGCCTGCCTCAGCATCAGCCTGCCTCAGCCTCAGCCTCAGCCTCAGCCTGCCTCAGCCTCAGCCTCAGCCTGCTTCAGCCTCAGCCTCAGTCTGCCTTCAGCCTCGGCCTCAGCCTCAGCCTGCCTCAGCCTCAGCCTGCCTCGGCCGCAGCATCAGCCTGCCTCAGCATTCAAAATGTGGCCCAGGAATGGAATTCTGGGAACTCGAAGAACACGAAGTGGCCTACAGTTGGCTCCGGGCATTCAAAATCATGCCCAGGAATGGAGTTCTGGGAACTCGAAGAGCACGAAGTGGCCTACAGTTGGCTCCGGGCATTCAAAATGTGGCCCGGGAATGGAGTTCTGGGAACTCGAAGAGCACGAAGTGGCCTACAGTTGGCTCCGGGCATCCAAAATGTGGCCCGGGAATGGAGTTCTGGGAACTCGAAGAGCACGAAGTGGCCTACAGTTGGCTCCGGGCATTCAAAATGTGGCCCGGGAATGGAGTTCTGGGAACTCGAAGAGCACGAAGTGGCCTACAGTTGGCTCCGGGTATCCAAAATGTGGCTCGGGAATGGAGTTCTGGGAACTCGAAGAGCACGAAGTGGCCTACAGTTGGCTCCGGGTATCCAAAATGCGGCCCGGGAATTGAATTCTGGGAGGTCGAAGAGCACGAAATGTGTGACTGTTGGCTCCGGTAATTCAAAATGTGGCCCGGGAATGGAGTTCTGGGAGGTCGCATGCGAGAGCAGCCACTGGGGCCTTCGGTGGAGCTCCCCATGGAGCCACGAAGCGCTGCCCTGGGTGGGGGAACCGCATGCGACCCCCCCCCCCACTGGAGCCATCGGCGGAGCTCCCTACGGGGCCACGAAACGCTGCCCTGGGTGGGGGAACCGCATGCGACCCCCCCCCCCACTGGAGCCTTCGGTGGAGCTCCCCATGGGGCCACGAACCGCTGTACTGGGTGTGGCGGACGCATGCGGGCACCCCCAATGGGGCCTTCGGTGGAGCTCCTTGTGGGGCCACGAAACGCTGTACTGGGTGTGGCGGACGCATGCGGGCACCCCCACTGGGGCCTTCGGTGGAGCTCCCTGTGGGGCCACAAAACGCTGTACTGGGTGTGGCGGACGCATGCGGGCACCCCCACGGGGGCCTTCGGTGGAGCTCCCTGTGGGGCCACGAAACGCTGTACTGGGTGTGGCGGACGCATGCGGGCACCCCCAGTGGGGCCTTCGGTGGAGCCCCCATGTGGGGCCACGAAACGTGTGAATCGTGCGCCGACAGGGGTGATGATGATGATGATGATGATGATGATGATGATGATGATGATGATGATGATGATGATGATGATGATGATGATGATGATGATGATGATGACGAGGACGGTAACGGTAACGATGTCGATGATGATGACGATGATGATGATGACGACGATGATGATGATGCTGATGCTGATGCTGATGCTGATGATGATGATGATGATGATGATGATGATGATGATGATGATGATACGGCTAGCCCCTTCCATAATGATGATGGTGATGGTGATGGTGATAGTGATGCTGATGATGATGATGATGATGATGATGATGATGATGATGATGATGACGAGGATGATGCTGATGAGAGGAGGAGGGAGGGGGCAGCGGGAGGAGGAGGAGTGAACGCGGGGCGCTGTCTCTCCAACACAAGGACCCAAAACCACAGGCTGGTTGGGAACAAATCCTGTTCTAACGTAGCGGCTTCGACAGGAGTCCAGTTCGAACCAGCAGGTTAAAACAGAAATCCTGTTCGAGCCTGGCGGTTCGAACAGAATTCCTGTTCGATTCGCTATGTTAGAATAGAAATCCTGTTCTAACATGGCGGTTCGCACAGAAATCCTGTTCGAACCGCCATGTTAGAACAGAAGTCCTGTTTGAACCGCCAGGTTCGAACAGAAACCCTGTTCGAAGCGCCAGGTTAGAACCGAAGTCCTGTTCGAACCGCCATGTTAAAACAGAAATCGTGTTCTTTCGTGGCGGTGAGATCAGAAATATGTTCTAACATGGCGGTTCGAACCAGATTTCTGTTCGAACCACCATGTTAAAACACACATCCTGTTCTGACATGGCGGTTCTAACAGAACTCCTGGTCGAACCGCCATGGAAGAACAGAACTCCGATTCGAACCTGACCGCCAAGTTCGAACAGAAATCCTGTTCGAACCCCCAGCTTCGAACAGAAACCCTGCTCGAATCGCCAAGTTCGAACAGAAATCCTGTTCTAACCGCCAAGTTTGAACAAAAATCCGGTCCGGACCGCCAAATTCGAACAGAAATCTGGTTCGAACCGCCAGGTTCGAACCGAAATCCTGTTCGAACCGCCAGGTTCGAACAGAAATCCTGTTCGAACGGCTAGGTTCGAGTCGGTTCGAACTCAATTTGAATTTGAACTCGGACCTGGTGGTTCGAACAGGAATCCTGTTCGAACCTGCCGGTTCGAACCACGCTCGAACCTGGCGGTTCGAACAGGGATCCTGTTGGAAATTCTGGTGCTTCGAAGGGTTTCTTTTCGAACCGCCAGGTTCGCACAAGAATCGCGTTCAAACTTGGCGCTCCGAACTCGAACCACGCTCGAAGCGCCGTGTCCGAACGCGCTTTGCGCTCGAACTTGGCCTCCTCCTCCTCCTCCTCCTCCTCCTCCTCCTCCTCCTCCTCCTCCTCCTCCTCCTCCTCCTCCTCCTCCTCCTCCTCCTCCTCCTCCTCCTCCCTCCCCTCCTCCTCCTCCTCCTCCTCCTCCTCCCTCCTCCTCCTCCCTCCTCCTCTCCTCCTCCTCCTCCCTCCTCCTCCTCCTCCTCCTCCTCCCTCCTCCTCCTCCTCCTCCTCCTCCTCCTCCTCCTCCCTCCTCCTCTCCTCCTCCTCCTCCTCCTCCTCCTCCCTCCTCCTCCTCCTCCTCCTCCTCCTCCTCCTCCTCCTCCTCCTCCTCCTCCCCCTCGGGCCCTCGCCCCCCGAGGCTCGACTCTGAGTTCCCACGGCGGGCCGCAATGAAGGTGGGCCCGCACGGCGCCGCCGCGCCCCTCTCGGGGGGCACCCCTCGCACGGCCCGAACGCCGTGGCCCCACCGGGGAGCTCGGCCGGAGGCCCCCCCGTGGCAAGCACCGCGCGAGCCTGCACGGCGCGGCCGCCCAACGTGATCGTCGTGATCGTCGTGATCGTCGTGATCGTCGTCGTCGTGCGCGTGGTCTTCGTCGTCGTCGTCGTGGTTGTCGTCGTCGTTTTCGTCGCCGTCGTGTTCGTGGTCCTCGTTTCGGTCGTGGTCGTGGTCGTGGTCGTGACCGTCGTCGTCATGGTCGTTGCGGTCGTAGTCGACGTCGTCGTGGTCGTCGTCATGGTCGTGCTCGTGGTCGTGGTCGTCGTCGTGGTTTTCGTTGTCGTGATCATGGTCGAGGTTGACGTGGTCATGGTCGTCGTAGTCGCGGTCGTGGCCGTGGTCGTCGTGGTCGTGCTCTTCATTTTCGTGGTCGTGGTCGTCGTGTTGGTCGTCGTGATCGTCGCTGTCGTGGTCGTTTCCCCCCCCCCCCCTCCCCCTCGCGTGTCGCAAATGCTGCGGCGCGTGAAACAGTCCACCGGCGCCAAGGCGGGAGTCCACCCAGTTAACTACGAACTGGGTAGACTCCCTTGCGTGTTGTGGCACCCAAAACGGCGCGCGCCGACGCCTGAAAGCAAATGGAGCAAATGCCCATCGTCGTCTTGGTCGTTGCCGCAGTCGTGGTCGTCGTCGCCGTGGGCGTGATCATAGTCGTGGTCGTGGTCGTCATCGTCGTGGTCGTCGACGGCGTGCTCGCTGTCGTCGCCGTCGTGTTAATCGTCATCGTCGTCGTCGTGATCGTCCTCGTCGTTGCCCTCGTCGTGGCCGCGATCGTTGTCGGAACCATCCTCGCCATCGTTATTGACATCATCGTCGCTGTCGTCATCTGCATCGTCGCTGTCATCAACATCGTTCTCACCTGGTCGTCACGGCATGCGTTCTGGAACACCTCCCCCTCATGACGCCTAGGGGTGGTCCCGTGCATCAGGATTCTGACGCTTCCCTCCCCGCCCGCGACTGCCAACACGCAACATCACCTGCAAGATTCTCCGTGCGCACTTCAGTGGCACCACGGGCCCCACTTGCCGTCGCTCGGACGTCCATTTCCCGCGCGTGCTTCGGTGTCGTGCCTCTTTTTGTTGCTCGATGGTCCAGGATGCTCCTCGACGGCTCTCGCAGAAGCAACATGCACACGTCCGAGCGATGCTAAGCCCAGGAGGCCGCGAGGCCTAGCCTGGGTGTGCGCGTGACGTCACTGCGCCCAGCACCCCCGGGGAGCCTACGAGCGTGGCGGCTACACTGCGCAGGGCGGCTGCACGGCCCCGAGGCCCGAGCCGTGACGACGACGACCACGGCCACGGCGACGAACACGGCGACGACCACGGCCGACACGACCACGGTGACGGTCACGACGACGACCAAGGACACGGCCATGACGACGACGGAGACAACAACGACGATGACGGCGACCACGACGGCAACGACCACGACCACGACGACGGCGACGACCACCGCCGTCGAAGTCGAGCAGCGAGCGAGCTCATCCACTTCCTCCTCCTCCGCCTCCTTTTTCAAATGTGCAGTGTGTAGCTTGCAAATGTTGTAATTAGCTTGCTACACATAGCAGATGTGCCATGTGCAGTTCGGGATCGCAACGGGGAGGAGGAAATAGAGGAAGATGAGGATTGAGGGGCAAGGTGAATGAGGATGATGATGAGCAGGAGGGGTGGAACAATATGATCGGTCATCGTCCCCATAATCACCATCACCATCATCACCATCATCATCACCACCACTTTCTTCATCTTTAGCTACGATGGGAAGACTCAATCGACTCACTACAAACCAACGCTACCGACAGCCAAAGACAAGATCGAATACGCCGGCCCCCTTGTGGGGCCACCAGGCTGTAGGCCGGAGGTTCGCAGTTTCCTGTGCCAGTTGCAGCTTCCAGTTTCCACTGTCACAGTTCTGCTTCTTGCTGCTTACTGTTCCCTGTTGACTTCTTGCTGCTTACTGTTCCTTGTTGATGGGCCGCGCGAGGGGGGGAGGCCCAAAACAGGCATTTCTACCACGCCCAAATCGTATTGTCTTAATTGCTGGGGTAAATAAAAATTCACACCCCTCACGCAGATCGGCGGTGTCAGGGTCCAAAAACACATGGGATTTGCCACTTGTTTGAAATTCGGCGGCACGCCTCACGCAGATCGGCGGGGTCAGGGTCCAAAAACACATGGGATTTGCAACATTACTGAAATTCGGTGGCACCCCTCGCGCAGATCGGCGGGGTCAGGGTCCAAAAACACATGAGATTTGCTACTTGTCTGAAATTCGGTGGCACCCCTCACGCAGATCGGCGGGGTCAGGGTCCAAAAACACATGGGATTTTCCAAATTTCTTTAAATTGGTGACACCGCTCACGCAGATCGGCGGGGTCAGGGTCCAAAAACACATGGGATTTGCAACATTTTTTAAATTCGGTGGCACCCCTCACGCAGGTCGGCGGGGTCAGGATCCAAAAACACATGGGATTTGCAACATTACTGAAATTGAGTGGCACCCCTCACGCAGATCGGCGGGGTCAGGGTCCAAAAACACACGGGATTCGCAACATTACTGAAATTCGGTGGCACCCCTCACGCAGATCGGCGGGGTCAGGGTCCAAAAACACATGGGATTTGCAACATTACTGAAATTCGGTGGCACCGCTCACGCAGATCGGCGGGGTCAGGGTCTAAAAACACATGGGATTTGCCACATTTCTGAAATTCGGCGGCACCCCTCACGTAGATCCGTAGGGTCAGGGTCGAAAAACAAACAGGTCCCGACACTGCTTCACGGCGAAGCCAACGCCTCATGACTCCGCTCTTCCATGGCCCATTCTCCGAAACAGGGGGCTGGCGGCAGGGGGCGAAACCCTTACGGATTTCATTCGGACTGGACCGGACTGGACAAGACCGAATATCGTCTTCGAACTGGAACGGAACCGAATAATCCGTGCTTTTTGGAACCGGACTGGGCCGGCACCGGCACGGACCATCCCTGCACGAGTCCTGAGACAGCTCGAGCGTCGACTCCCCGTTGGGGTGGGTCTCGCACTCGAACGGCACGAAGATGATCCTGGAGATGGCGATGAAAACGGAGAACACCACCGCCCCGATGGAGCAGTAGAGCGCCGCCTTGCGCTCGCCGAACTTCTTCTCGTGGAACACGCTGACGTGGGCGACGTGGATGGCGCACATCGCCAATGAGCAGAACAGCAGAGGACGGCACGAGCAGAACCTTTCGGAGGTCCGCGGCGGGCTTCCTGGACCGGCGGTGGACCCCCTGCCAGCGCGTCTCGCACCGGCCCCGGCCGCGCGCGCCGGCCCGGCCCCGACCCACGAACTCCGCGCAGACCTCCGACAACTTCTGCTCGTGTCGCCTGCTGCCCTTCGAGAGAGCATGAAGAGCAGCAGGACGAGCTTCTCGCAGTAGGTCCAAATGGGGCTCGTGGGCATGACGCACTCCAAGCCCATGGTGCCCGTGTTGAACACGAAGACCTCCGTGACGGCGAGCCACTCTCGGAACGGTGAGGGCCACGGGACCTTCATGGCGTCAAGAACGCTGACGATCTGCACGCTTGTGATGATTGAGGAAGAAAGGCTGGCGTAAGCACAAACTTTCGGAGCTCCGCGCGGATTTCTTGGGTCGCCGGTGGGCCCCCCCCCCTGGCGCGCGGGGCGCGCCGAGGGCGGCGCTGGAGGCGCCGACAGGAGGGCCCAGCGACGATCCAAGAAACCTGCGCGGAGCTCCGAAAGTGCATGTTTATAAAGTTGTTCGTCCTCGAGATGAGCAAGCTGACGGGGATCATCATCATGGACGTTGCACTCTTCTCTGTGGCGCGGTCCGCATTGGCGAGGACGTGGTAGGCACAGGCAAGCGCCGCGACCAAGACGAGGAGGCCCATGATGATGATGACGACCTCGCCGCCGCCCGAGCAATCGATGCACTCGCCAGACCCCAGTGACACCAAATCGCCCACACATCCGGTGCAAACAGTGGTCGTGTTGTCTCGATTCTCCCCACAGGTACCTGGTGGACCCCCCGGACAACGAATAAAGTCGTAGTCGCGCATGCATTGAAATATCCACGCGGGTCTGTCCGTAGCAGAAAAATACCCAGGTTCCAACATAATGATCCCCATGTATGGACACGACATGCCCGTCGTGCACGCCCTGCAGACATCCCCGTCGAGGTACGACCCGTCGCTGCAACCACACCATCCCTCTCTCGACGTCGCACCCGTGCTCTGCAGCCACCCGCCGGACCCGTCTGGCTTCCACGTGGACCAGCGGTCGCTGTCAGGCCTGCCCTCATCCACGCAGGCCGTGCATGCCGACAGGCCCGGCAAGCTCGAGTACAGGCCGACGGTGCACTCCTGGCACGCAGTCTGCCCGCTGGCCGCAGCGAAGTGGCCCTCGGAGCAGTTGGTGCACTCTCTCGAGCCCGGGGAGCTGGTGAAGGTCCCCGGCGAGCACAGCTCGCAGGCCCCCGCGGCGTTCTTGAAGTACCCGGCGGCGCACGCGCAGAAGCCGCCCTCCTGCAGCCACACCTGGTCCGAGCTGCACGGCACACACAGGTTAGTCTCGAAGTCCAGGGACTCCTCCCCCGTGCAGGTCGTGAACTGAGCCACGGCTGCTGGCAGGGCCACGATGTCCGACTCGTTGGGCAAACCTTTTGGCGTCCCGGCACGGTGCGGTACCAGGCCGTGCGGCGACGGGCCTCGCCGCACGGCCCGTCCGACGCACGGTTGTGGGACCTCAGATGCCCCGGTCGCCCGAGACGTCCTCGGAGAGGGGCCCGAGTCCCAAAACCTGTGCGGCGACCCCGAATCCCCACCGACTCACCACACGGTGTGGTCACCACCACTTTTGGGGGCCCCCGAAAACCGAACTCGAGGCCAACGCCCGCAAACGACAGGACCCCATCCAAGAACGAGGCGAACTCCACCTGCCTGTACGTGCCCGCGTTCTGCAGCTGCTCCAGCTTGACGGATCCCTCGGGGTCTGGCGAATTCGGCGCAAACTTGACCTGGCCGATGACGCCGGAGAAGTTGCTCGCCGCGAAGGCGTCCATCACGGCGAGATACGCGGAAGGGGTGCGTTCTCTCAGGTCGTCGAGCTGAACGCCGTCGACCTCCACCAGCTGGTGCAGCATCTGTGCGTACATGCAGACGGCGTCCGCCGTCGTGGCCGCCTCGAGGGCGGGGGTGTACCCCTCGGGTCGCATGCCGAGGTCCTCCATGGTGGCGCCCTGCCGCGACAGCCACTCGCTCTGGAAGCCCTGCGCCGTCATGCTGGTGGAGCAGTCGAGCCGGGTGTCCACGTCGCTCCGATCCGCCACCGTGCCCCCTGGCACGCTGGGGCGTGCTAGAACTAGGGGGCCACATGTGAACCCTACCCCTCCCCCTCCCCCTCAGAAGTCGTGGGGGGTAGAGGGGTAGGGCTCACATGCGGCCCCCTAAGAACACCGAGTGCTGCGTGGCAGGGTTTTTCTGCCATCCGCCACCCCCCCTCTCGCCGCACCGCGCCGCACCGCGCCGCGCCCTCTCTCGAGACCCCCGGCCCCTCGCACAGTGCGGCAGGCTCTCGCACTCTCCAGGCCGCAGCCCGTCGTGGCGTGCACCGAGCTCGCGCTCCCGCGGCCGCAGTCCCTCGTGGCACACGACAGGTGCACGCTGCCCCAGGCCGAGATGCTTCACGACGACCCGCGCCGACCTGCCTCCGTGGGGACCCGAGATGGCTTCCAAGAGGACCCCGGGAGCCTTGCAGACCGCCGGGGAAGGCTCCACGAGGACCCTCCGGAAGGCCCACGGAGCCCCAAAGAGAGCCTCTATAGGACGGCGCAAGAGCAGCCCAGGAAGGCCCGAGAGGGCCCCCCCCCAGGCCTACCTCACGAGTCCAACGATTTCAAGCACGGTCCCCTCGGCCAATCCCCTGGACACCCCTTTTGCCCCTCCACCCCCCCTCCCCCATCCAGGCCTCCTCGGCTCCCCATCGGCCCCCGAGCCTCCGTTTTCGGACGGTGCCCGCGGAAGGGCAACCAGACGTCGTTCTGAATTGACGCGCCGATATTCCGAGCGATGTGTTAGCCCGTTCGTTTTTGAAACGAGCTCCTCGGGCTACATTTCCGACGAGAAGGCAGCCCGCGTGCTCTTGGCGCGATGTGTCGGGGCCGACTTCCCGAGCGATGTGTTGGCCCTGGCGCTCTCAAAACGAAGTCGACGGGCTACCTCTCCGATGATATGTCGGCCCTGGTGCGTTTGAAACGGTGTGCTAGGGGTCTGTAACTAATCGTGGGTCGGCTCGTCGAGCTACATTTCCGATCACGCGTCGGCCCTGGTTCGTTTGAGGCTGTACGCTCAGCATGTTTGGGTCGGTTCGTCGAGCCGCGGCTACATCTCCGATAATGTGTCGACCCTGGTTCGCTTGCAACGCCATGGTAGGATCTGCAATGTATTCTTGGGTCGGTTCGTTGGGCTACACGTCCGATACTTGTTCGACCCTGCTTGTTTTGAAATGCCCTGGTCTGCAATCTGACGAGGCTGGAACTCATTGTGGTCGGTTCGTTTCGTCGGGTTATATTTCCGATACTTCGAAATCTGCATTTTCGTGGGGATCGGTTACGCGACCCTATCGGACGGCACTTCACCGTGACCCTCTTCCTCGCGATGCTACTTATGTCCTTGCCCTCCATTGTTCGCAATTTGTCCCTCCTCTCCCTTCCCCCACCCCCTCCCTTCGCATCTCTTCCTCCCCCCCCGTCCTGCAAACGCGGCTACCTCACGCCTCCGCCTCGTTTCGCTGAACGCCTCGCCCTCCTCCGCTCCACATCTCTGCGATACGCCTCCCCGTCCCTGCGACATGCCTCCCCATCCTTGCGACATCCCTGAGATCTGCCTCGCCCCGCTATGCTCCCCCCACCCCTGCGAGGGGCAATCGAGGGGGGGGGGCACGGCGAAAGAAGGGACACGAGGAGGCATGACAGGCTCGCGGCGAGAAAGAGGAGGAGGAGGGAGTGGAGGAGCGGGAGCCGCAGCGCGCAGGAGGCATCACGTGGGTGGGGAGGCGGCGGCCGGAGAGGGGAGATGGGGAGGGGGGCAGACGCCGCGCGCAACGCAGGGCGCCGCCGCCTGCCCTCGCCATCTCCTCGTCCTCTTCGTGGCCCTCGCCGCCGTCTTCGCAGTCGCCCTCGTCGTCCTCGTCGTCGCCGTTGTTCGTCGTCCTCGTCGCGCCGTCGTCGTTCGCTGTCGCCCTTGTCTCGTCGCCGTCGACGTCGCCGGGGCGTCGACGGTCGTCGACGACTGTCGTCGTCGTCGTCGTCGTCATCGTCGTCATCGCGTCGTCGTCGCCGTCGCGTCGTCGCCGTTGGCGTCGCCCCGCGCGCGCTCGCGCCTCAGACAGTCACCTGGGGCGAGAAAAAACTGAGGCTGGGAAGATCAGATGCCGATCCGACCGCCCCTCTGCTCTTTGCCTCCACCTCCGTGCTCTGCGCTCCAAGGGTGGCGGCCGCCCCGGCTCCCGGCCCCGTCCCTGCGGAGGCGGCGCCGCTTCGGTCCCCCCGTTTTGGAAACCCGACACGGTGCGGTGACGGACCGTGCGGTGACCTCGAAATCCCCCCAACCGCACGGCCCGTCACCGCACGGTTTTGGGACCCTGGGGGGCCCCGGTCGCCCGAGACATCCTCGGAAGACGACCCGAGCCCCAAAACCGTGCGGTGAGCCCGAATCCCCACCGACTCACCGCACGGTGTGGTCACCGCCCCGTTTGGGGGCCCCCAACGGCCCATCCCCACCCCGCGCCCGAACTGCGGTAAACCGTCAACCAGGTTACCGCCGGGAGCCCCGTAGAGCTCTATTGTCGCGCGGCGCTGCTCAGACACATGTAAGAAGCTTTCTCAAGCGTGACTGAACAAATCGAGGAAAAAAAAAACAAGCTTTTCGTTTCTATCCAACTGGGAGCCGGCGGTAAACCGTCAACCTTGGTTACCGCCGGGAACTCGTAGAGCACCCGTTTTTCGTCCTGAGTCGTTTTCTGACGGTCCCGAGGCCCGGGAAGGGCCCCCGGAGGCCGAAAATGGCGAAAAACCTCCGTCGTGACTTTTTCACGACGCGAGGAGGTCTGGGCCCCTCGGCCTCTCGTCGCTCCGGGTGGCGGCCCCCTCTCGTCTCTGCCCCCGTGCCCGTGCGGGCGGAGCTGCGCCAGCCCGCCCCGCCGCCTCCGCGGGGGCCAATGGCAGGAGCGCGGCCGGCCGGCACCCGGAGCGGCCAAACTCTTGAGGGGGGAAGGGGCGGAAAGGGGGTGGTCGGAGCAGCTCCGCCTCCGCGGGGGCGGGGGCCGAAAGGGCCCCGATGGGGGGAAAGGGGTTTCAAGGGGATGGGGCCGGGCCGACGCCCGGCCCGAAACGGGGTGGGGCCAGTTTGAGTGGGAGTTGGACCTCCCCACCACACTGGAGGCCCAAAAGGCTACAAGATGGCCCCAACGAGTTCCGCGAGGGTTCCTCCAAAAATAGGCACTGAAAGTGTCACAGATGACGGCCTTCCCCTTCCTCCTTCTTCTCCTCCTCCTCCTCCTCCTCATCATCATCATCATCATCAGCATCATCAGCAGCATTATCACCACCACCAACAACATCGTAATCCTCTGACTCATCCTCATCATCAGTATCCTCATCGTCATCATCATCAGCATCCTCACCATCATCCCCATCACCATCACCATCGCCATCGCCATCGCCATCACAATCATCATCATCATCATCATCATCATCATCATCATCATCATCATCATCATCATCATCATCATCATCATCATCATCACAGTCCTCCTCCTCCTCCTCGTCATCACCATCATCACCACCACCATCACCATCACCACCACCATCACCATTATCATCATGATTATCATCATCAGCATCTCCAGCATCATCGTCAACATCGTCGTCATCATCATCACCATCATATCATCGCCATCGTCGTCATCGTCGTCGTTGTAGTCGTCGTCGCCATCAACATCCTCATCCTCATCCTCATCATCATGTTCCTCCTCCTCATCCTCCTCCCCATCATCAACATCATCATCCATCATCATCACTATTACCATCGGCATCACCAGCATCTCCAACACTATCATCATAATCATCACCAGCAGCATCATAGCAGCATCATTAGTATCATCATCAACATCATCATCTTCTTCACCGATGTCATCATCATCATCATCACCATCATCGCCAACATCATCATCGCTGTCCCTACTGTGGAGACACGAGCTGTCACACGTGACGGCCTCCCGTGCCCCCTAGCACAGTGGCCGCACAGAGAACGCGGGCCTGACACGGTGGCGGGACCTGCCGTAGGCGGCTGGATAGAACTGCATGTTCGCGGAGATGTAGAACTGGGCCATGCTTCTGACCTCCTCCGCCGTGCAGCCGCTGTCAGTCGGCTCATACCACCAGCCCGCTGAGAACCAGCCTGTAACCATCCAGATCACGTTCTTGTAGCCGATCTGGTGGGCCGCGCACATGAGCAGCCTGGCCCTTGGCTGATACATCTGGAGAATGACGAAACGGGCTACGTATCCATCACTGGCACCTTGCTTCAGGAGATTCGCTACTTCTTCCGCAGCAGTGGCTGAGTCCGAGCTGATCTGGTAGCCGCGCCACGTGCCAAGATCATCAAAGGAAAGACCTTCGAGAGTCACACCTTGATCGTCTGCAGCAACGCCCACCTTTATCACGTCCGATCCCCATTGCGCCGTCTCGCCGCAAGAGGCTGATATTCTGACGTGGCCCAAACTCCTTGCTGTGGCCACCCAAGCTGCACCAAAGACTGAGTCTGGCATGATTGTCCTGAAGAAATTGGGGTACGCACTTCTGTCGCTCAAAGATCCGCGTGTGGCGCTGTTGGACACCATGGGCACCCGTGCATAGAAAGCGGTCTTTGCAATGTCCATGGCCCCGCCGGCACAGCCAGATCCCAGCAGACCGACAGGCTTCGAGGACACCACAGTGGCGTTCCACAGCTCGTAGAACTGCTCTACATCTTCCGTTGTGATAGCCGCTTCGCCGTCCGTGTTCAGGGCCTCCAGGGGCACACCGGGCGCGAAAACGTAAGGGTACTCTTGGTTGTACAGGTTCCTGAGGAATATTTCTACGGCCCTGCCCCTGGCACACAGGCCATCCTGCCACGCCACCCTCAGCGTATGACCTGGCAGAAGGTTGGGGTTATTGTTAATCTCCTCCAACATGATCTGGCCGCCGATGCGCATGGATATGCCGGCGTCCCAGTCGGCTCC